AAAAAGACCCAGGATGTATCTTGCTTGTAAGAGGAGTGACCAGTATATGGGTCCTACGAAAGGTTTGAAGAATTGACAAGCATATTGTCATACTTTGAAGATAGTTCTGGCTACTCACATTTGTCACAACTCAACCCCAAAGCTTAGGGTTGGAATCACAACTTACTAAATAATTCTAATTGTAACAAATTAAATGGCGTAAGCGGAGACAAAATGGAAGTAAGAAAAGAATTAAACAGAAAATTTACTTCATTATACTATTTTAATAAAAGAAAGTACATCTATGGGGTTTTTATTATTTTATTATTCAATTACCGACCCTCAGTAAAACACAAAAAAAATAAAAGAAAAGAAAAGAAAAGAAAATAATAATAAAGGATCAGTATCAAATTCTTGTGTGAGTTCCACTACACAAGGTTACGGGTCTTCTTTACATCTCATCACCTGAAAGGGTAACAGCTATAAGCACACAGCAGAGTGAGAAATATTATACCAAGAGTTTAGGGAACACAAAATAACCATGGATAGTTAGTTAAGGTAAAACATTTACATACCGTAATTTGAATAAACAAATTATTTACATGGAGGAAACTGAAATACAGAAATTACGTAAATAAATAATCATAACTAGGGTACAAAACAGAATAGAACAGAGGTCAATGGATCCATGACAAATAGAGGACCACAAAGTGGCCAAACAGAGGCCAATGGTTATTTAAGTCCCCCAACGTATGAAACTCCCGTGGTGGTACTTATAGAAAATAATTGTTTACAAAATCATTGTCAAATAATTTCTAAAATTTAAACAAATATATCCATGGATTTCAATTTAAGTAAATGGAGTTTAGAAAATAATTAACGTAATTGAAATATAAATGTAAGTTATAAAACATAACTTGTATAAAATAAATTATGGTTGTTCAAAACATACGTAAAATACATAATGGTGACTCAAGGAATAATATAACTCACCTTAAGATTGAGTCTTAGTATTTCCTTCCTATTTTTTCTATCTTTTCGAGACTCCCTTTTATGCAGTACCTTTCCTAATTTTCCTTCTTTTTGGTATATTCAATTTACTACCTCGGCTTGCCTTATATACCCAAGGCCCATATCCTCATAATAATGACTAGATCCAAAATTATATATATTCTGTACAGGTGGCGTAACCCACCAATGCCATATTTCATCCTAATTAACTCATAGATTTGGTATCTTGATTGGATAACTATCCTATTATTATTATTATTAGGATTATTACTTTTATATTTATTTATTATTACGTTTCTATTTATTTATTTAAGTTTTAGTGTCATTTTCTTTGAATCATTTCTTGAAATAATTATATACTATTTGTTTATTTACGTATTTATTTATTTATTAATATATTATCACATACAACCATAATTATATTTATATATTTATGTAGTATTTAATTAAACTATTAGGGTGTCGCAACATTGGATGACCATGCCAGACATGGGACATCTTATTGCATCGTGCTACAATCTTTGTGTTATACTACTTGTCATTACAACAATGTCTCACATTTTTACCTCTTAGAATAGTGCAAGTACCTTAACTTGATAGACGTGAGATTGCAATTGGGCTTGTCAACGGAAATCATTTCGTCGAGATATAAGAGAAATTTATCATTTTGTGCATGTACAGAAAATTATGAGGTATGACCACTAACTCAAGTGAAATTTGGTGCAGGTTTTTTTGCAGCCAAGCCATCTAGTTCCTTTTATAGCCACTAATTGGCGAAAATACCGTCACCCTTGCACTGTTGACTAGAATGATGCATATGTGCACCGCATTCAGCATTTCAAGGACATCATTCATGATACTGTAGCTACTCGAAAGACATTTCATGTTGTTGATGTCGAATAGAACATGTATGTGTTTGACAATGTTAGAATTGTGGAAGAAATTAATGGATGTGTTTTTTTGTTGTTGATGTGTTATGTGGCATGGATTGAATGTTATCAACCATTGTTACCAATACATTCTAATAAGAAAATATCATTTACAATATTATCGACGATTGTTACCATTCCATTCTAATAACAAAATATCTTTTATAATGTCATTACAAGATGTGTACAGCAATGTCAGCTTACAAAAATACCACAAAAAATTCATCAACTAACAAATAACATGTCACGAATCATCTGTATGCCTACGACTAGGCCTATGATTGTATGTCAATGTCGGAGATGAAAAGCTACCTGCAGTACAACTAGATCCAGCAACTGTAACGACATGACTATTGAAACTCCGCAGTAATGATGGATCAGTCGGTCTACCTGGAAAAACATGAGTAAGGTCCTCTTCCTGGACAGTAGGAGAATCAGGTAAAGGGGAATCCTCCACAGCAATGTTAGGCATATCGTCACTTTCAACTCGTCTTTGGCTTCGGCTACGACTTTGATTGGCTCTGGGGATATCATATTCTACCAGAATTGGATCACGATCTCGACCACGATCCTGACCTCGTCCTCGCCTACGCCTTCATCCCTGTTCATGGTCAAAATCCAATTCACGACGTCGTTTATTTGAAGCAGTAGATGAGACACGTTATTGACATTCAGAATCCGTATTATCTGCAAAAATTAATATATTTAATGAGTAAACAATTGTAAAAAACATATACGAAAGAGGAAAAAAAAAATCGTTCGGAAGTTGAAAACTGAAAAATCACATTAATTTCAGAAGTTGAATGTCATCTGAATTAAACATATTCAGAAGTTGATTGTCAAAAAAATGAAACAATTTCGGAATTCTACTATCGAAATAAATGATAATTTTTAGAATTCTACTTCAAAAAAAGTTGTTTATTTTCTGAAAACTAGTTCCGAATGAGGAACAGATTGCTCATTTCGGTGGGCTTCGTTTTGAAAATGATAAAAACAAACCCTACATTACAATGAGGATTGAAATAAATAAACTAACCTAAGTAAGTTCTCCAAATGTAAAAAAATTTCTTCAATGATTCATGTGAGATGTCTTTGATGGTTTAATGAGATGTTTTCAATGCTTTAATGAAATGTCTTCAATGGATGGATGTAGCTTTTGGGGACGAAAAGTTGAGTGTAAGAGATGGGTGTGTGTGTGTGTGTGAGAGAGAGAGAGAGAGAGGGAGAGAGAGAGAGAGAGAGAGAGAGAGACGCCTAAGAGGTTTGTGTATGAGAGACGGGTTTGGGAGCTTGGGTGTGTATGCGTGCGCGCATGATTTACATTTGAAAGTAGATGTGGAATAAAAGGTGTGTGGTAAGTAAAATAAATTAGGATTAATTTTTTAAAGGAAAATTTGGCTATAAACCCCTTTTACCTTCCTTTCATTATTAAAAGGATTAAGAAAAAAATTATACTTTCTAAACCTCCTCATAATTATAAAATCTTACATAAAGGACAAAATTTATTATTTAAATATTTTATTAGACTATTATACCCTCAACTAAATTTTCCCACATTCTCCACCCACTCTCTCCCCACTTTCTCTGTCTTTCTCCTCCCTCTCTCCATTCTCTAACTCCTTCAAGCTTCAGATCAGAAAGTTTCAGACCTCGCCAACGCCGCCGACGTCATCATCATCACTCTCCTAGCCAAGTCCGGTCAGTTATCAGGCGAAACTCTGGTGATCAACAATGCCGAAACCAATTTCTACGATGAACTCATCAAGAACATTGGGAACGAAATCAACTACGTGCCGGAAAATTGTCCTCCGTTGCTGGAATAGAAGGAGATAGTCTACGAGGAGAAACAGATCGTCTCTGAATTGATCGCTGTTACTCCGAAGAGCAATGAATTGATCGCTTAGTTTTGAATATATGTATATATATATATATATATATATTTGTGTGTATGAGTGTTGTTGAACACATGTATTCTTTTCATTGAGATTTGTGATTATTGATCGAGTTTTAGAAAATTTCCTTCTCAATTAAATATGTTGATTTGTTGATTAATTTGTTTTGTTTTTGTTTGTTTATTTTTTATTTTATTTTATTTATTTTTGTTATTTTTGATCTAATTTCATTTGACTCTGGTTCTATTGCTCTGTTTTTTGTTTGAGAGAATTAGAGTAAAATTTTACTCTGGTGTTAGAATGACAGTAAAATTTTATTATCAAGAGGTGGTCATTGCCAAACACTTCAGCTGTCACAAACATTGCCTTCGCTTTTTTACTTTTGTGCAGAGTAACATTTTAATTTTAGATTCAGAGTCTCACAGTTTACTCGTTTTTTAGAGTAAAATTTTACTTTTATACAGAGTAAAATTTTACTTTTGTGTAGAGTCTAGCATTTTACTAGTTTTTCAGAGTAAAATTTTACTTTTATACAGAGTAAAATTTTACTTTTAGCTTCAGAGTCTCACAGTTTACTCATTTTTCAGAGTAAAATTTTACTTTTATATATAATAAAATTTTACTTTTGTGTAGAGTCTAACATTTTACTAGTTTTTTAGAGTAAAATTTTACTTTTATACAGATTAAAATTTTACTTTTAGCTTCAGAGTCTCACAGTTTACTCGTTTTTCAGAGTAAAATTTTACTTTTATACAGAGTAAAATTTTACTTCTGTGTAGAGTCTAACATTTTACTAGTTTTTCAGAGTAAAATTTTACTTTTAGTTTCAGAGTGAAATTTTACTTTTATACAGAGTAAAATTTTACTTTTAGTTTCAGAGCGTAAAATTTTACTTTTATTCAGAGTAAAATTTTACTCTGAAATACACAGTGAAGATGGCTTAATAGAAGAGTTGATAGATATGAGGGTAATATAGTAAAAAAAACAAGTTTTAAAATATTAAGAGATTTTAAAAGTACTTATATAATTCTTATTATTTTGAAAGACAAATTAAATAATGAGAGGATTATCACCAAATTTCTTTTTTTAAATGTGTATTAAAGAGGATGTGTATGGAGTGGAATGGGTTTGTGCAAATAAAACAACCCCCCCCCAAAATAAATAAATAAATAAAATAATGTAGCGTTCAAATTAGACAAAAATACATCCAAACCCTCACTCATTCACTCTAATTCTTTGTCTACCCAACAAAAATGGCGGCAAGGGCTCTGCAGCTAACCCCTCTGCCACGGCCACCATCCACTCTCCAAACCCTTTCAAGAATTGCCGTTTCATCCACTCCTTCAAAGATCCAGTCTTCACACGGCGCAGGTTAGTACCCATCATCACCCTCCTCCACCCTTGTCTCAAAAAGATTGAAAGATTGAAAATTCTCTCTCTCTCTCTCTCTCAGCAGTTCTGCGTAAGACGAAGAAGATAGAAGAGCAAGACCTGTACGGGCTCCCAAAAGAGTATTACGACGATGTATGTAATTAATTGCATAGCTGAATCAATACAACTTCTTTGTACTTGGGTTTTTCTTAATTTTTAGGTTTTGATATTTTTCTCTGTTCTTGGTGGTGATTGTGTTATTGTTGTCTATTAATGAGTTCTTTGCTTAATTTGAGTTTTTGGCTTAAAGGGTCTTTGGAATTCGTTAATTCTGGAGGTGGGTCATCTCTAAACTAGCTGGCCTTACTCAAAATGTTACCCAAATTTTCATATTATTTAATATTAAGTACTTCAATTGACAAACTCATACTTAAAGCATAAATTTGAGTAAAACTTGGATAATGGCAGAGTGGTAAGTTTGAAAAATACAAAAAAAAAAAATGTTCTTGAAAATTTTGAGTAAACATTTGAGTCTCCCAGATTTTAGTAAAAAATGGGTAAAACTCAATTTGGTATAAGTTTGAGTCAATGAGATAATGCTCTCTCTAATAGAAAGACATTTGTTTCTTGCTGAAATTTAAGTTTGGATGTTGTTATGGTGATTCAAAATTCTGGATAACATTTTAGTAGTGTATATTTTGAAAGCTGGCACTAATCTTTATTAGGTTAGGAATGGCAAGCCCAACAATGGGAAAAGACCAAGGAATTGCATCAAAGGCGTCAAGAGGAAGATGAAGAGGAGGAAAGAAAGATTGATGAATATCGTGAAGTTGGCATGCGGTTGAAAGACTATCCGGAAGAAGAAGTTCAAAAGGCAAGGCAGCTGGTTTCAGGCTTTATCAAATCTGCCGAAGAAGTAGAAGAGGTAATTATTGGGTACAATATCAAAAGAAGTTTCTGGTAGTTCTTCTGGATATAAAAGGTTAACAACTTACAAGGAAATACTTTTTTGGTGTTCAGCCTGTTGATCTTGTCCATCTTTGTACTTTGTATCTGCAACATCCAATGATGTTGTCCTTTTATGTCATTTTTATGCCCTCGTAATGGGATCCATCATTCCAGGTCAAACAAAGTTTGATGTTTATGATGGTTGTTTCACTTGGCTGCAGAAAATTGAAGAAGCTGCTGAGAGGGGCGAACTCACTGAACTTGTTCTGATGGTCATACGGAATCGTCTTGATCTCGCTCGACGTGATGTAAGTTAGTGTTTTAGCTTCTTAACCTATGCATCTGATTTATTTATTTTCTGAGGTGATGCTATTATTGATATGCTTAATAGAATTTTCTTGAGTTGTAGCAAGTGCTAATGGATTCAAAATTGTAGTTTCGACATGTTATGAAAATAGTGGTAGTTAAGAGTATGTTGGTCCTGTTGTCATCTTACCAGAGTATGCGGATGGTTAGTTGAAGTTCCTTTTAACAAAAGTCATGAAATTTGTCAATATGTTAAAAAGAAATGGATTTCCCAAAGGAACCTCATATCAGATGTAGGACAATCTTTTCTGTCCTGCTATTTCATTATTAGGGCTTGGCTTGCATATGCGCTCTTGGTGATTTTCTGTTCATTTTTATCACGTTGACTTCTGAATTTGTTATCATGAATGAAGTACTTGGGCCTTCTTGTTGTCATGATGATGTCAATTACATACTATGGATGACCATAATCATGATTATGATCATTATGATTGGTGCATAGCCTTAAGAGGCCTTTTCTTGGTGATAAATACAGCCTAATGTAGCAAATGTTCAAAAGACTCTAGTGCTGTTGGCCTCTGATAAAGTTTATGGTCTATAGATATGTGGTTTTTCAATATTACCATATACGGAATCTGTGCTTTTTGTATACCTAGGTGTAAAAGATCTTGAAGACTGTCTTATAATTTTCCTAGTTATGATAGTTTTGCACTGCCTGAGATGGATGAATTCAAACTCCATTGGTAATAATCCAAAATGAAGATGTAACTTTTTTCTTTTCTTTTTTTTTTTTTTTCAAATACAAAACACTGCGGAAAAATGCTCCGAGATTTTAGGAAAGATTAATGTTACCTGTGTCGTCAGAGGTTGGGCCACGCCGGCGAATCTTTTTTCTTGGCGGTCGGTCTTTTGAACTGGAGGAGGTGGCGGTGGATGCGATTGGGTGCTGGAGCTTGTCGATTGTGGAAAGGGGTCAGGGGCTTAGAAGGGCGGTCCTGCTTGTTGGCTTCGAAGTATGTTGGCTGGTGGCAAAAATGCGGAAGGCTTCGTTGGATCCCGGGACCCTTCGATTTATGGGACGGCTTACTGGCGGCTGCTGTAGTGTAGCAGTTTGGGTTCACAGCGAGGAAGAGGGTGGGTCATCCATCCAAATAGTGGTGACGGAGGGGAAGCGGACGGCTCAGTTTTTCTTTCCGATGTCTGCCTTTGGCGATGGGTGGGGGGATTTGGCTTTGGTTATTGAAGGGTTTGGATTAGGTGATGGTTGGGTAAAGCATCCTAGTGGTGTGCGGGGGATGGGGCTACCTATTTCTACGCCTATGACAGTGGCAAATCCCGGCATAGCTGCAGTGATTCAGGAGGTACACACAGCACTAGAAGGTGAGTGGTTTCAACTACTGGATAGGGCTTTGGTGGGCCATCTGAAGGGCGTGGGTGGTAAAGGCTTGAGTTTTGCGGCTATGTCAGACTAGGTCTGTCGATGGTGGAAGGCGTCGGGGCAGGTGGAGGTGCGGCCACTTGGTGATCAGGCATTTCTGTTTTTTTCTCTTCCAGACGAGAGGCGGAAACTTTGTTGCGTTGGCGATGGACTCTTGATGGTCGAGATTTGTTGTTGGAATGGTGGACATCCTTGGCCCTCTGTGCATCGGGGACGGAATCACCACCAGGACCAACAGAATGGATCCGTGTGACGGGCTTGCCGCTTCATCTTTGTGGGGAGGAGGTTTATCGTGTGATTGGCGACCAGTGTGGTGGCTTTCTGGAGGCGGACGAGTCATCGGCGGATCTCGGCTCTCTTCGACTGTGTGTGAGGGGTTTGGAGAAGATGCCGACGACTGTCTTGCTCCGGTGGGGATCGTCGTCATATTCCTTACCAATATGGGTGGAGGTTTGGCCGTTGGTTGAGCTTGTGCCGCCGTCCGCCGGCGAGGGAGGTGGTTCTGGTTTGGGAATGGAAGGGCGTGATCTGCGGTGGAAGAAGCGGCGAATTGCGAAAATCGTGGGGGTCAACGAGATAAATAGAGATTAGGGCGACCCATTGATTTTAAGGGTAAACGGGTTAGGGTTATTCCTAATACCCAAGGTGGCTTTGTAATAGGCTCAATAAGGGATTTACAAGGTCCACAGTTAGGCCATTCTGAGGCCTAAAAAGCTGTTGGCGTTTCTTTGGGCCAGCAAAGGTGGGCTCCGGTCCATCACCATCCAGAAGTAGGCCTAGATTGTGGTAAGGTTATTTTCAGCCCCCCTGGGTGTGGTTTAGGCCTAGTGGAGAAAGATCCGGCCCAACCCATCTCGGGTCAATCCAATCCAGACCTCAGTCGAGTTTGTGCTTCCCTTCGCGACGGCTTAGAGCTTTATCGAACCTATTCTGCCATGGAAGCGTCGTCGGAGTCAGTGCGACCTCAGGCGAGTGCTAATCTTGTGGCGGACGAATAGCGTTTGTAGGAGCTGAGCTACGGGGAAGGATGCGATATAGAGGGAACTGATGATGAAGGTTGTTGGGCCACATGGGTGGATCAACTGGCATTGGTGGTCTGACCTGAGGTGGTGAATGCTGAGGTAGACGTGGGTGATGTTGCGGTTGAGGAGGGCCTCCTTAGCCCGGTAGTGGATTTCCACGAGGATGTGATTCTGAGCTCCGAGGAGGTATCGACGTGGGTCCTTTCTCGCATTACTGAGGTTAGCCATTTTTTGGAGGTGTCTTTTAAAGGTCATGAGCACGAGGCTTTTGCTTTATTTTCTGCCATTGAGGGCTCCTGGAGGGAGAGTGCCCCGAATTGTCAAGTGGTGACGCTTATGAAACAGAATGAGAAGAGTGTTAGGGAATTACGAAGATTGGAGTGTTCTATCAATTATGATCGGAGTGCAGATGGGGATGGACGGGTTGCTAGGAAGGGTCGTGGTACTCCATTGTTGTTACAATGCGGTTAAAAATGTTGTCTTGGAATGTGCGTAGTTTAAATGATAGGGGAAAACGGGTGATGGTGAAATCTTTGTTAAAAAGTGTACATGCGGATGTGGTTTGTCTACAGGAAACCAAGTTGGAGAGTTTGGGGGCAGAGATAGTTCGGGAATTGTGGGGTGTTCGGTTTGTGGATTGGACGTTTTTACCTGCCCAAGGGGTGGCTGGGGGGAGTTCTTCTTTGTTGGGATGAAAGGGTGTTAGTAAAGGAGGAGGAGGTGGGGGCTTTTTCCGTTTCTTGCCTTTTTCGATGTATTGAAGATGACTTCTGCTGGGCCTTTACAGGTGTTTATGGGCCGGTTCACGGCGGAGAGCGGATTGGTTTTTGGGAGGAGCTTCACTACATTGCCTTTCGGTGGGGGGTTCCATGGTGTGTCGGTGGAGACTTAAATGTGGTGCGGAGTTTGGAGGAAAAGAGGGGGGCAAGCTTGGTAACGGCTTCTATGCGGATGCTTTCGTCATTCATTGATGAGGTGGAGTTAGTGGATCTTCCGATGCAGGGTGGTGTATTTACATAGTCTGGAGGTGGAGTGATGTCTCGGCTTGATAGATTTTTGGTCACAGGGGACTGGGAGGAGCATTTTTCAAACGTCGCCCAAACACATTTGCACCGTCCAGTTTCCGATCATTAGCCAGTATTATTGGATAGTGGGGGGTATTCGGAGTGGGCCGACGCCGTTTCGGTTTGAGAACATGTGGTTGTTATCTGAGGGTTTTCTGGAGCGGGTAAAGGGCTGGTGGGATAGTTATGTGATCTTCGGCTTGTCTAGTTCTTGTCTGGCACAGAAATTGAAACTTCTTAAGTCCAATTTGAAGAGGTGAAATAGGGAAGTGTTTGGACGCTTGGAGGTCCAGAAGGCCGACGTGCTCGCTGTGTTGCAAGAGTTGGACGTCATAGAGTCCGATGAGGTATTGTCTGCAGCGGATCTTCGTCGTCGAGATGATGTCCGCAAGGAGTTTGTCCAGATTGCTCGTATGGAGGAGATTAGCTTTCGACAAAAATCTAGATGTCTGTGGTTAAAGGATGGAGATCGAAATACAAAGTTTTTTCATCGAATGGCGAATGCCCATCGGAGGGTGAATCAGATAGGTCGTATGCTTGTAGATGGTATGGAGTTGTCTTCTTCAGATGCGGTCAGGGCTGGTATTGTGGGCTTTTATGAGCACCTTTTTCGAGATGAGAGGGAGGTGTGGAGGCCAAGCCTGGATGGTGTTTCTTTCGATGTTAATTCGGACACGGTTAGTTATAGGTTGGAGTGCTCGTTCGCAGAAGATGAGGTGTTGGAGGCTTTGCACAGTACGCCTGGGGATAAGGCGCCGGGTCCAGATGGTTTTACATTAGCATTTTTCTAGCATTGTTGGGAGGTGGTGAAGGCCGATGTGATGGCAATGTTTGAGCAGTTTCATCAGACTAGTGAGTTTGAGCGTAGTCTTAATGCCACGTTTATTGCTTTGATCCCAAAGAAGGGTGGGGCGGAGGATATTCGGGACTTCCGTCCTATCAGTCTATTGGGTAGTATGTATAAGCTTTTGGTGAAAGTGCTGGCTAATAGGTTACGAGGTATGTTGGAAGGGGTCGTTTCTGAGTCTCAGAATGCTTTTGTGGGTGGGCGGCAAATTCTAGATGTGGTCTTAGTGGCAAATGAATGTGTGGATTCTCGACTCCGCCAAGGGCAGGGGGGGCTTATTTGCAAACTTGATATTGAGAAGGCTTATGATAATGTTAATTGGAAGTTTTTACTATATATGCTGGACAGATTCGGTTTTGGAATTAGGTGGAGGCGATGGATCCAATTCTGTATTTCCACGGTGCGGATGCCAGTTCTTGTGAATGGCTCTCCAGCGGGTTTCTTTCCTACTTATAGGGGGCTCCGGCAAGGAGATCATTTATCTCCTTTATTGTTTATATTGGTGATGGAAGCGTTGGGGCGGTTGTTATCTAGGGCGGTGCAGGGAGGACGGTTGCAGGGGTTTGCGATGGGAAAGGCTCCTGCAATTTTGTCGGTTTCCCATTTGTTCTATGCGGATGATGCACTTATTTTCTGCGATGCGGATATGGATCAAATTGGGTATTTGAGATGTGTGTTATTGTGTTTTGAGGCTGTTTCAGGTCTTCTGGTGAACTTAGCAAAGTTAGAACTGATTCCAGTGGGGGAGGTGGCTACGATTTCGGTGTTAGCTGCTATTCTGGGGTGTAAGGTGGCGACTTTGCCAGTTACGTATTTGGGATTACCTTTGGGGGCATCTTTTAAGTCTAAAGGAGTGTGGGATAGAGTAGTGGACCGTGTGCAGCGGCGGTTGGCAGGATGGAAACAGCAGTATTTATCAAAAGGAGGGAGACTTACGTTGATTAAGAGTGTTCTCTCTTCCATCCCGACATATTTTATGTCCGTCCATGTGATCCCGGTGTCAGTGGCCAAGCGTATAGAGCAGTTGTAAAGGGATTTCTTGTGGGGTACTGGGGGGGAGGGTTCCCATTATCACTTGGTGGCCTGGGATCGGATTTGTCGTCCCAAGGTGCAGGGGGGTTTAGGGATTCGAAAGTTGGTCTTGTTCAATGTGGCCCTGTTGGGGAAATGGTTGTGGCGGTTTGTGGTAGAGCATGACTGTTTCTGGAGAAGGGTGGTGGTAGCTAAGTTTGGTGTGGGGCATGGCGGGTGGTGTTCGGGGCGTGTAGGGCATTCTCATGGTTATGGTCTATGGAAGGGGATTTGGTTGGGGTGGGAGGAGTTTTGGAAGCGGGTAAAGCTCAAGGTTGGGGTAGGGGATAGGGTTCGGTTTTGGCGAGATTGGTGGTGCGGTGACCTCACTTTTTCCCTTTGGTTTTTGGTATTGCCGTTGATGCTAAGGTTTTGGTGGGTGCTGTGTGGTCTGGCCATGGGGTTTTGACTTTTTGGAATGTGGCCCTGTGCCGTGCTGTTCAGGATTGGGAGCAAGGTCAGTTGGTGGAGTTGTTGGCTTTTTTATATGAGTTGAGAGTGGGGAAGGTTGGACAGGACTCTTTGGTTTGGGAATGTCCTGGGGCTAAGGGCACTTTTTCCGTATCCTCTTATTATCGTGTGCTTGCTCATGTGAAGGAGGTTGCTTTTCCTTGGAAGTGTGTCTGGGTTCCGGGTACGCCATCTAAGGTGGCCTTTTTTGTGTGGACAGCTATGTTGGGGCGTGTTTTGACTTTGGATAATTTAATTCGACGTAGCCACATATTGGTTAATTGGTGTTGTTTGTGTTGTGGTGCTGCAGAGTCGGTGGATCATTTGTTCATTCATTGTCCGGTATCTTCGCGCCTTTGGATGTTAGTTGTTGCGACTTTCGGTTTGGCTTGGGTGCAGCCGGCGTCGGTTCAGGCAGTCCTGCATAGCTGGGTAGGGGGTCGAGTTGGGAGGAGACGTCGGAAGGCGTGGATGCTTGCTTCTCATTGTATTCTATGGTTGGTTTGGTTGGAGCAAAATAGGCGCATTTTTCAAGGGCTGGCTCATTCAGTTCTTTGGTTAGAACAGCGGCTTCTTACAATATTGTATGGTTGGGTGACTAGATCGGTTGATCCGGATGTTTTGGCTTTTGTCGAATTCGTGGAAGATTTGATTTGTTAGTTCATTAGTTTGTGAAGCCTCTTTGGCTTCCTTTATTGTATTCTTTGCATCGTCTTGATATTTTTCTATAAAAATTGGTTACTTATCAAAAAAAAAAATCCAAAATGAAGAACACCCCCCCCCCCCCCCCCCCCCCCTGCCCTTCTCTCTCTCTCTCTCAATTAGAAGATACTCATTATGTTTTTTCAGGATGAGAAGGATGCTGTTAGAAGTCTTGATCTCTTATACAGACGGGTTGAGGTATCCACTGCTCATCCTATTTAATCTACACCTCTGAATGGATGTCAGGTTTTTAATTTCCGTTCAACTTGTACGACTAATGCCACTTATTTATTGACTAATGATCTGCTTTATGCACGTTTGTCTTGGATCCTTTGTGTAACCTGTAGTCTATGTTGCTGCTGCTCTACCTGTGTGGCAACTTGTTGCATTGCCAGAGATGGCAATTGTATCAATCCCTATGAAATTTTATATTTTTATGAATTGCTTCTTATCTTCCAAAACGAATCTTCTAGTCTGCTAAAATCCTAATAAGTTCTTACCAGCAGAATAATTTTAGCCTACCTCATCTTGCATGACATGATTAGTGTGTCCTTTTCTCTTCCCAACCTTTCTTTCGAATTTCAGTTGTGTTGCTTCTTTACCTGTTCATTTATTTAGATATACATCTGAGACTTGCCTAACAATGTAGACTGAGATTTTGAAACGGGAAGCTACTCCAGCTATGAGACTACTCAACGATCTTTTGAATTTGCATGACGGGTTTAATGATGAAGGGTGGCTGAAGGAATGCAAGAAGCGGATGGTTGACACCTTTCCGCGAGAGGATCCATTCAGTATTCTTGTCCCAGCAGGGTTTGACATTGATAAGGTATATCTCACAAACGTGCAATTGTATGCGTTTTGATATAAATTTTTACTCTATGGTTTGATGGACATAGCATTGACATTCAGAATGTCTGGAACTGTAGTTGTTTACAAAATAATAGGGCTGCAAATAAGCCGAGTCAAGCTGAGTAGTAGTTTGTTTAAGTTTAGCTTAAAAACTTGACGAGCTTCAAGACGTGTTCAAGCTTAGCATGTTTACACAACGAGCCAATCATGAATGAGCTAAACACCAGTCGATCTTGAGTAGCTTTATTTTTATAGTGCATGCTTATAGGGCTTAACAGTAAGTTGTTGAAGCTTGCCTTGAAAACTTGACTAATTTTAAAACGTGTTCAAGTTTGGCTTGCTTACAAAATAAATCGATCTCAACCGAGCTTTTAATGAGCCAAATATAAGTCGAGTTCAAGTAGCTTGGTCTATTTTGCGGCTCTACATAACAAAACCATAATTATGTGCTATAACTTCTATTTATTTGTGTAATGAATGACTAATTTTTCTCTCTATCAGCATCAAGGTCCACTGAGACCACCACTTGAGGGTGATGATCTCCTTTTGAGGGTAGACTTTGTCCGAGAAGTTGATGCATTGCTGCAAGAGGTTCGGTATGAACAAAGCGAAGTAGAAAATGAACAAGGGCTTGATCCCGAATCTGTTGCAACTAGGTTGAAGCAACAGGAGAAGCAGCGAACCATTCGGCTAGTGTTAGCTCTCTTGGATCTTGCGGTTAATTTGAAATGGTAATTGTACTATTTTTTAACCATTTTTTTCTCTGAAAATCTTTGTAAAATTATTGCATTAGCCATATTTTTGCCAAGGTCTGAAGAGAAAATGACTCAGTTAGGAGTATATGTATTTTGCAGTTTCTTTATACAGAACAATGTATATGCCACTGTTACTTATTTTCTTTACCTTTTTTCCTCTTTTTAAATTTTTAATTTTCTTATTTATGAAGTGGGGTAGGGGGGCTACTTACAGAAGATATTCATATTCGAGTGAACTCCATAATATTTTAAATTAGACAAAAATACACCTTTCACCTCCGAATTTTTACTTGAATTTTTTTAGTGTTTCATCTACTAATCGTAACAACATATTTTATTCTGGTTCTCACATCCCAATTTTAATTCAATTTTTATTTTGATCTCGTGTTTTAATTTTCACTCAAATTCTAAATGACGGAATAACAAGATTATCACATTTAGAACATGAGTTGAAGTTTCATAATTTAATTGTTACAATTGAAATAGTTGTTACAATTAGAAGATAAGAGACTAAAGTAAAATTCTAATAAAAATTGAAGATAGAAAGTGTAATTAACCTTGTAAACATTTTACACAATTACAAATCTCACTGTAGTCTCATTTTTTAACCATTAGCAATTATGGTCAAAACTAGTAATGTGATCCTTTGGTTCATTTATCTGAAAATGACATGTTACCTTCACGTGAGCCAAGCTTTTGCCTTCGAACAATAGAATTGGGGCTGTTTTTATCCTAAAATAGACATTTAACGAAGAAAACCCATACTGTAAGCACAAGAAAGTAGGAAAATAAAGAATCAACATTATAATGAGATATAATCAATGTAAAAGAATTCTCTCTTCAACTTACAACACCACCACCACTACCAACACAAATACCACCTTCAGAACTGACATCAGAAGGATATTTACTATCCTTTCGAGAGCTCCTCTTGGTTGGAACAAGGGGATTGTTCTCTTCCTCATCTATCGCTTGTGGTCTCTCAAAGTCACCACCCTTGAAAACCGGGTGTACATAAGCATCTTGCATATAGGCTTTCAAGCTTAGGTTTGGTTCCGTAGCACGTTCTAATGTATCCTTCACCATTGCATCCTGTGACCAATATGTATCAAAATTATTATCATTCCTTCATATTAGTAAAACAAACCTTCAACAATATAAACATCACCCAAGAGAAAATATCAGCAGCATTCCTTCACTTTTTATCTTTTAACGAAATTTCCTTTCATTTCATTTCCTTTCCTTCTAAAAGGAGAAAAAACAGACACAGCACACCGACATATCTCCTAGTTAGACATCTCATATATCCATCAAATCTTTGATGCACATACACATCTTCTCATTACAAGTATAAGTTAAATCTTGCAAAAATGCCAATAAAAAAATTATGTGTGTGTGTGTGTGTGTGAGAGAGAGAGAGAGCTTTAAATAGAAGTATCTTATCTGCACTCACCTGTAGTGGGAATTTCATGAATGCCGACTCAAAACGCCCCTTGCAAAATCGATGGAACCATATAGTCAAAACAGGAAGTACAATGAGGAACGGTGTTGAATTTTCAGCTCCTTTTGTGCTCATCAATCCCATTAATAGAAGTTGCGATATTATCAAGCCAATAATTATACGCCGATGCACATCTGGCCAAAATGTTGCCCCACTCTCATACTTTTGGTCATAAACATTGATGATCTTGCAATAAGAAATAATTTCATAATTCAAATTATTGTCTGAATACACGATGTTACAAATACATAAGTAACATTCTGTTAGAAGTTCTCAAGATGCTTAGCTTCCAAAATAAACCGTTGGCCCAGATGAAACATTTTATTTTTTTACTTCCTTTTGGTTTTAATTGGTTAAACCAGGAAAAAAAGAAAAAAGAAAAAAAAAAAAGAGTGCAAAAGAATTATTCTCAGGAAGTTTGTACTTCTATTCTGTTTTCTTAAAGGCTGCCCACTATAAGAACTGCATGTTTATCGGAGGCTTAACCTAAATTAAAGAAATTTGAAATAATACCTGATGGCGGAAAACCATATAGGAAAAGGCAAAGAAGACAATGATGAAAGGAAGAAGTATGGGGGTGATCACTGAATACACAAGTCCCAGCAAGAAATAGAGTTGTATGCGAGGTTCAGATGTAGAGAAGTTCAAGGAACCAGGATCCATTGCCTGCTCTCTATCTTGTTCTGTCTTGACCAAGAACGTATTCTTTATGTGGAACATAACTAAAGGAACCAATCTAACGATCTCTGCAGCAATGCCAGCCCATCCATCAACCATTATATAAGTAATGAAGAAAGTGGCTTTCATTGGAATTGACACACCAACAGTTTTAGGAATCCTACAAGGAGAGCACACTGTACAATATTAGACAGACTGTAGAATAGAAGAAAAAAATTTGGAAGTACTAATAAGGAATAGAAATGGAATACATTATATGCAGTAATTATTATTATTATTATTTTCATCCTAAAGCAAAGATGCATGAGAGAATGAACATCACAAAGTAATTTAAGGATCTAAAATGCAACTAGAAGTACAAATTTTAAATCATTAAGACTGTCATCACAACATTCATACATCTTATCGTACAGAACTCAAAGATGATACAAATGCAGTTTTAGAAAAAGCAAAAGAGAAGGATCGAAGACTGTACAGAAATATAGAAAATTGTTAGCACAAATCTTTAGATCACCCTTTTGGGGTAAGTCCCACTTAGCAACATACAGAAGAATATGAGACTGTCAACAGCAGCATGCGCATTCAAGACACAAACAACTGATTCCCTAGGAAGTTAAAAATGAAGATTTTTGAGGTTTGAGGTTTCTCAGTAGTTACAATAGTTGATCAACTCCAATTGAGTTCAGCTCAGCTTAGTTCAAACCTTAATATTTACCAAATAGTTAATGAAATATATAAATTATTCAAGCCTTATTCTTATAAAAGCAAACAAGAAACGTACTCTGTTGGAGACTGATTCAAAAATGTGTGGAGCTGCTGAAACGCTGTTCCAGCAATAATGCTTACAAGAAAGACATTGACAAGCAAGAACAAATGATACTTTCCAGCTGATCTTCTCTCCAAAGATGAGAGTGATGTGAATCCTTCTATTCTGGACATAGTCATGAGAATTGTTGGAAGAATAATAAGGAATATCTTTAATGCGATACCTGGAAGAAAACCTTGAATGAAAGATTTGACCACTTTCCTGTAACAGAAATTTCCAACATCAAAAGAGGCTTTTTTTAATCCACACCGACCCACCCACCAAAAAAGACCTAAAAAAATGGTACATTTTAAAGAGTGGAAAAAAGAAAAAAAACTAAAATGCTGGCCATCATTCTACCTCTAATACCAATTGAGAGTAAGGAATAAGAACGTTGAAATTAATTGCCTGTACAAACTTCAACCCAAACAAGTAGTTTCTTACTTTTTTAACCATTATATATGCCGCTCCTTATAATCTTCTTACGTTTTTTTTTTTTTTTTAGAGAAGGCATCCTCTTGCTTTAATTAATTTGTGCTTTGTTTTGATCTAGGATTTGTCATGGGAAAATAAACCAAAGAGAAATAAAATTACTTGCCACTCCTTCCTCCTCCTTTTTTTTTTTTTTTCTTTTTTCCTTCCAATTTTTTTTTTATTTTTAAAAAGATTTACCATTTGTTTCGTAAACAACCAACTAGAGGGTGTGCACACGCAATGCATGTGCAATAAAAATCAATGTGTAAATAAACTGTTAACCTTATATCTTCATTAGAAGAGATCAAAGGGTTAATTAAATCCCCTTTCATGGTTTGATAACGAATAAAATGCTACGTAGCAAGCATGATAATTTCTCAACTTGGCAACATGAAGTAAGTTAACAAATATCAAATTTCATTTTTTGTTTCTATAGTGACTTCAGATCTCGGAGAACATCAAAAATTGAAAATAAATATGATAATTAATTTGGCGTTTCAAGAGCTACATTTGACAGTATATGACAAAAATAAAAGAAAACATTAACTAATTAAAACAAAAAAATTAACTTACTTTTGTATTAGGGGCTTCAAGAAAGGTAAAACCTTCTGGATGCCGTCAAGATTGGCTATAGACTGAACCAATGCTATGGGTATCGTAAAAAAGAAAGTTAGGAAAAATAGACCAACAGCCATGAGCAATCTTCGAATAGTGAGTTCAACAAATGGTATTGCAAGATTCTCCCAATAAACATCACGTGGTTCAGGAGCCCATTCAGTCAACCAAACAGTAGGATTACTTGACTGCTGAGTTTGAGCACAGACAGCTGCTCCCCACCGGGATTTAAATGAAACAAATGCTGCGGGGACTATGGAATTATTGTCACTTATAACCCTCTCTCTTTCTCCCGCTTCCTAGACACAAAAATTACATAACTATTCATCAGATCCAGACACAGTACTCCAGTGTTCTAACAGGTTGGCTTATCTAATAGAGAAAATTCACATGATAGTCATGGCTCTGGTGATAGGTCATCACCCTATCACCACCACAATGCTATCCCAGCCTGTCCAAAGATAATTTTTCATATGAAGAACCTAATACCGCTAATTCAAAGAACCAACATTGTAAATAGATAACAAGGAAAAGGAAAGGGGATTAAAAAATGACCCTTTGAATTGCATAAGTAATGAAGTTACACAATTACCATTTTTGACAAAGCTATAATGTGATATAAAAACTTGACAGCAATTGAAGTTCCCAGAAGCTTATCGGTCTCTCAAGCCACTAGTAGTCCATTAAAAAAAATCATTCCCCAGTGCTAGTCCCTGATAATTGAAAATGCTAGGAGGGGTAGATTGGATAGAGACTAAGCAAAAGAAAAACAAAAACTCTTCTTCATGAGCTCATGTTCCCTTTTAAAACAATAATATATATATATATATATAAATTTCCTCATGAGCTTTAAAGAAATATTGAATTGCTAGGTTGTCAACAAACCAAGTTGTGTGAGAAATTGTAGAGATTATGAAGCTCAAATCAACATAATTCACCAAGTAATCAACCTAAACTCAAGATAGAATGTTAAAGTCAACTGCTTAACCACTCAAGGTTTAGCGACATCTGATCAGCTTGATTATGCCAGTGAATTGCTAAATATAGATGTTATGTGTTAGTGGTTGCATGGTTCCTGCCATTCTTGATTAGTGCTGTCAATATTTGTAAGTCTAAGAACGTATTTCTTCCATTTGTAAAGGAATACTAAATTTTGACAGTAAAATACAAAAACAGAAAAAGGTCCCTTTAGTTATATATCCAGCTTGACTAAAGTTGTGAGCAAGCCTAAGGTCATCCTAACATGTACAAGTTAAATACAAACAAGCTAATTTTGAGTCAAGATCAAGGTAAATTTGAGCTTGATAGAAACATAACAAAGCCAAGCTTGAATAAACTGGTATGATCATTTCATCCTTGGGTCAAATGAGAGAGCACATAATATTGTCACTGATTTTCACAAGGCATAAGTCCACACAACCCACAATCTAACCTCAACTTTAAACAAAAATGCATGTATATAGTCTACATATATGGAGGCCTGCCTTGCAAGTCATTGTTGTGCTCGGGTTTTGGCCCTTGGTTAATTTTTCAACAGTTATTCATTGTAATTTAAAAAATGATGATAAATTGACAAAAAGCGAAAGCTGGAACAGAAGACAACTAATTCTGGAAACTTACTTCTTCGCTTAACTTCCCAATTTCAGCTGTGTAGTAGTCAATTGCATCCACAGTTTTTCCCCAAAGGCCCCAAAAACCTGTCTATACAGAACGGAAAAGTGTGATGGTGAACTTAGTAGTTGTAAGTCACTTTAATAATAAGAGATCCATAAACAAGAATGACTCACTGAGAGAAGACATATAGATCAAACCAAACCAAAATTGAAGATTATGTGGAGAATAATACCTTTGTAGTTGGCTTTTTAGTAGGATTTGTCTCATATTTGTTTTGGTAATAAACAAGCCAGTTCTGCAAACTCTTTCTTTGCGCCACTATATTTGCAAGCTTATTTGCATTGTATACAATCTACAAGACAAGAATTGTAAGAGTTGGTGATGTTGTGAACTTGATGCAAATATACAAAACATACATATTAAGCTTTTGTGACACTACAATTTGGATGCAAAATGTATAAAAGAAACTCCAAATATGCAACTTCTCTTTCCCCATGTTACTGCATAAAAGTTTCTATTACAACCCAAAATATTACAGATTCACAAGTACAGAAACTTGAGAAAGAGATAAACCTGATGTGAAAGATAATGATCAGGATGATTTACGCAAAAGAAATGTTCAACGTGCTCACTAACTGATTCATCAGGGTCTGGAGGTACATTTCTCACAAGAACCTGCAGAAGAAATTGGAGTAAAATACAGCAAGAAGTAAACTGAAAATACATCATGTTAGTGTAAGACATAGGCACACAGATATATATTGCTTCAGACAGGAATAATAGGAAGCATACATTTGAAACCATTAATAAATTGATTATTTTTAGATAATAGTAGCTTGTCCAAATTGTTGCTACAATCAAATTTATATTTAACCATAATTAAATTAAAAAGTAACAAAACAAAGAAACTAATGAACCTTTAAGTCCTCATGATCTACAAAAATAAACTGCATGATGTTGGAAATTTAGTCCAGATGTCACAGATGTTAGCTCCTTAACAAGTAAAGAGTTTAACTTACATCAACGTAAGTTTAAACACAAACTACAAAGCGGAACTAATCAATAAAAAGATGTGCTTTAAAGAAAAATTAAACATAACCATATAGAAATTTCGGCAAACTTACAGTGAATTGATCTGGACGACGATTTTCAGAAGCAAGAAAATGCAATCTCAAAGTAGCTACAATCTTGTATTCCTTGTATAGCACATAACATGTCCAGAATGAAAAGACATACGCCATTACCAAATGTGCCCAAAACCTGGAGGGAAATCACAAGAGGGGTGTTTCAATGACAAGTATCAGCCATCATAATGTCAAAATAAAACTTGCAAAAACCTTTTTAAAGGTTCCCATACACAATGTAAAAATGAAGGTGACACAATTGTATAAGATCCTATACACTAGAAAAACAAAAAAAAATTGTGATGATTTAGGATTTCGAACTAAGTGCAACAAGTTGTGATGACTTAGAATCTTGCACCCTTGTATACCATAACTCAAAAAACCAACATTCACAGAGAGCTAATTGAGCTGGGTATCATTGCATTTAAAATATTTCAATTCTTTGATGCCATGGCCTCCAGTAATAGTTTATTTTCATCAGTATTATAAGAAAGGTAGACTAAGATTATTCTTATGGATTAGAAACTAAAGATACAATATGACACATGTTTCTATGAATGAGGGTGCCGCTTAATCTAAAGATAACGTATTTATGATCTGTGATCAACGCTTTGCACATAAAGGCATGAATGTGAAAATGATTGGATTTTCATATATATTTTCATTGGATTTTCATATATAATGATCTAGGATACCTAAAATACAATAAAAGGCATGAACTATACAGAAAATATCAAAAGAAGAAACTTCTCACCTTTGAGATCCAGGTGACACATTGGATATTGAGAGTTTGTCGATATTACTGAATGTTAAATCCTTGACATTATCTAATGATTCCCCAGTCCAATTTACAGGCACCAACACCCCAAAAGCTAGGGCAGTTATAGGGGCAAATATTTTCAAGCTGCATACGATTCAAATTAGATGATCATAATAGCATCAAATAAAAATTAAGCAAAATAGAGGAATGATTATGCACACTAAGCCTTTCGGCCTTCTAATTGTTTGTTAATTCCAAAAAAATCCAAGAAAAATAAATCAGAAAAGAATAAATGCAAAAGCATAATTTGAAGATAGTAGCAAAGAAGCTATTACTTAATATGGTCCATCAAACAATTATAACTATGAAAAAAAAAATGCATACTAAAAACTCACCCAAGAAGGTAAATTCGAATATATACAGCAGAATCAAGCCCTGCATGATCTATAAGCTCAGGTTGTGGCATTCTTAAGGCTGCAGGCATCCAATTCAAAAACCTTATGTACGTTCTGAAGTCCAAGTTGATGAATTTCGACACAAAAGCTTTAGAACGTGTTGGACTGCCTCTTATACCCTTCAGGTACCACTTTGGGAAGTAAACTCTATCATTGACTGGTTGGAGCCGTAATATTGCAAAGGCCACAAGGAACACTATTGCAGAAAGAATGTTAACAGCAGCTGCAAGGCTGATATCTTGAATGCTAGCCATGTTTTTTTTCTTTTAAAGACTATCTATCGATCCCCTGAAATTTGAGTGGCACGGAGTTAGATGTCTCTTAATGCATATTAACCAGAAAAAATTGTCCAAGTGAGTCATGATAGACTTCTATTTATCATTATCAATTTCTAATATCTTGCAGCGTCAAATAAAGCATTATTACAATATATCTCTACGTTTTGTTCCAATATTACACTTTCTTAACCATTAACGATTCCAAACAATTTGCGCTCAGACTTGCAAGTCAACCACAAAAATAATAATAATAAAATAACGTATTACCATTATATACCAACCTAATGGTCTCAAACAATTTTAACTCGGTCATCCCTGCAATCAGCTGCAATTATGAAAGGTTGTTTCACCGAATCCAATTGCTTCTATCCTAGACTCTTTATTTATTTATATTTATCAGCAACAAAAAAAACAAAATATTATTAATCAAAAACTATAAACTTTTCTTTTTATTTTCCTATCATTGAGATATCATATCACTCAAGCACAGCTAACACTAGATAACGTCGTATGTGTAATGTAACTACCAATCTTGTCGCTAAACCTTGGAAGTTAACAGAATGATCAAAGCTTCATCTACTTGAGCTCAAAAACCATCGTATCTCATAATCCATTCTATGAACTAGTTCTTTATATTTTTTTATACATAAGGAAATCGAGCAAGCACATAGGAGGAGATAAAATTTTAAAAATTCTTTGGAACCACAGGACTTATTTTCCCTTCAACGCAGTAATCAGAATCCATACAGATACAATAAATATTCAAATTTTATTGTACTAAAACATGTAAATGTACGTATTCGTTGTACCCAAATTTATGAAATCAATTTAAAATCGTAACATAGGTTTGGTGAGAAAACAGAGAAAGATTATAAGATACCAAACCCTTAATTGCATTCTTTCATTTTCGTGGAATTCAAAACTCACCACAAATAAACCAAGACAAATAGTTTTACAAAGAAAGTGGAGACAATGATCAAGGAGACTCAAAATCTTATTTTCTTTCCTTTCCTGCCTTTTCCCAGCAACCAAACAACGCGTTCGTCGTTGATGATGAATGAGGAAACAGATAAATGACAACCTCGCAATGTACGCCCTTGTGGATTCAAACAAAACGATCGTTGACGATATATTCAATCTTCAGGGCTGCGAATGTGACGTTGCGATTGATTCAAACGAAATGAATGATTCGGAGAGAATGTGATATTAGGGTTCTGTATTTTGATTTTGTATTATGGGTTTGGTATTTACGAATGCAAGGAACAGAGATAGAAACAAGCGCGGAACCGCCTTTCGATCGATGAGCACGACAAGGTGTGTCGCGCAGTTTGTAACGTTAATATATATATATATACGACAAAATTTTGAATTAGCCTTATATTATATTTTTAATTGGGTAAATTAGACAGACACCCTTCCGGTTTATATTTATTGCCGTTCCCTCTTTATCATTTGGAAATTACATCTCTCCTAAGATTTAAAATTTTATTACAGATTCTTTCTCTCAGTAATTTAATTTTTTTTAATATTAATTTTGTCCTCACTAGGTAAATTACATTGTCAACTCTCACATTTTAGAAATTACAATCCCCTCCCTAAGATTTAAAGTAGCATTACCAATTACCCCTTCGGTCAGTATTAGTTGGAAAAAAAATTCATTGGAAAAAAATTAATTGAAAAAAAATTAAGTGAAAAAAAAATTGTTAGTAAAATTTTTAAATTTCTGTTTAAAAACTAACATAAGCTCATTTTTTGAATTTACGTTTTTTTCTCAAATTTAAAAATTGAGACAGTCATTTATAAACTAAAAAAATTATTAAATAAGTTTTTATGACAATTTTAAAAAAAAAAATTAAATATAAATTGAAAATTGAAAACTGAAAACGAAATACCAAACAGGTTTCAGATGGTAAAAATATCATAAAATTAACAAATAATTAAATAAGTTAGTAATGTAATAAATGACTCATCAAAAGATTCTTAGGCTATGTATGGTTTGATTTTTAGAATTTTTTTAAAAAAATTAAAAATTAATTTGGTTAAGAAATAAAAAATAATTATCATTTTTATATAATTTTTATCTTTTGAGTGATTAGAAATAATTTTTTACAAATTAAATTGAAATAATCATACGTATGTATATAACCTACCCAAAAGTTAAAATGATAATTATTTTTTACCCTTAAATGATAATTATTTTTTATTTTTTATTTCTTAATAAAATTAATTTTTAATTTTTAAAAAAAAATTTCTAAAAATCAAGCCATACATAACCTAAGAATCTTTTGATAAGTCATTTCTTACGTTGGTAACTTATTTAATTATTTGTTAATTTTACGAAATTTTTACCATCTGATGCCTGTTTAGTAACCATTTCGTTTTCAGTTTTCAATTTTCAATTTATACTTACAAAAATTTAAAAAGCTGTCATAAAAACTTATTTGATAATTTTTTTGGTTTGTATATGGTTGTCTCAATTTATAAATTTGAGAAAAAAAATATAAATTCAAAAAATGAGTTTACGTTGATTTTTAAAGAAAAATTTAAAATTTTACTAACAAAATTTTTTTTCAATTAATTTTTTTTTTTTTGAATAAATTTTTTTTCCAATTAATACTAACTGAGGGGCCAATTGGTAATGTTACTTTAAACCTTGAGGAGAGATTGTAATTTCTAAAATGTGAGGGGTGTCAATGTAATTTACCCATGATTCAAATGAAATGAATGATTCGGAGAGAATGTGATATTAGGGTTCTGTATTTTGATTTTGTATTATGGGTTTGGTATTTACGAATGCAAGGAACAGAGATAGAAACAAGCGCGGAACCGCCTTTCGATCGATGAGCACGACAAGGTGTGTCGCGCAGTTTGTAACGTTAATATATATATATATACGACAAAATTTTGAATTAGCCTTATATTATATTTTTAATTGGGTAAATTAGACAGACACCCTTCCGGTTTATATTTATTGCCGTTCCCTCTTTATCATTTGGAAATTACATCTCTCCTAAGATTTAAAATTTTATTACAGATTCTTTCTCTCAGTAATTTAATTTTTTTTAATATTAATTTTGTCCTCACTAGGTAAATTACATTGTCAACTCTCACATTTTAGAAATTACAATCCCCTCCCTAAGATTTAAAGTAGCATTACCAATTACCCCCTCGGTCAGTATTAGTTGGAAAAAAAATTCATTGGAAAAAAATTAATTGAAAAAAAATTAAGTGAAAAAAAAAATTGTTAGTAAAATTTTTAAATTTCTGTTTAAAAACTAACATAAGCTCATTTTTTGAATTTACGTTTTTTCCTCAAATTTAAAAATTGAGACAGTCATTTATAAACAAAAAAAATTATTAAATGAGTTTTTATGACAATTTTTAAAAAAATTTGTAAATATAAATTGAAAACTGAAAACGAAATACCAAACATGTTTCAGATGGTAAAAATATCATAAAATTAACAAAAAATTAAATAAGTTAGTAATGTAAGAAATGACTCATCAAAAAATTCTTAGGCTATGTATGGTTTGATTTTTAGATTTTTTTTTAAAAAAATTAAAAATTAATTTGGTTAAGAAATAAAAAATAAAAAATAATTATTATTTTTATATAATTTTTATCTTTTGAGTGATTAGAAATAATTTTTTACAAATTAAATTGAAACAGTCATACGTATGTATATAACCTACCAAAAAATTAAAATGATAATTATTTTTTACCCTTAAATGATAATTATTTTTTATTTTTTATTTCTTAATCAAATTAATTTTTAATTTTAAAAAAAAATTTCTAAAAATCAAGCCATACATAACCTAAGAATCTTTTGATAAGTCATTTCTTACGTTGGTAACTTATTTAATTATTTGTTAATTTTACGACATTTTTACCATCTGATGCCTGTTTGGTAACTATTTCGTTTTCAGTTTTCAATTCATACTTACAAAAATTTAAAAAGCTGTCATAAAAACTTGTTTGATAATTTTCTTGGTTTGTAAATGGTTGTCTCAGTTTATAAATTTGAGAAAAAAAAACATAAATTCAAAAAATGAGTTTACGTTGATTTTTAAATAAAAATTTAAAATTTTACTAACAAATTTTTTTTCAATTAATTTTTTTTTTTGAATGAATTTTTTTTCCAACTAATACTAACCGTTGGGGTAATTGGTAATGCTACTTTAAACTTTGGAGAGGGATTGAAATTTCTAAAATGTGAGGGGTGTCAATGTAAATTATCCAATGAGGGCAAAATTGGTATTCAAAAAAATTAAATTGCTGAAGGGGGAATCTGTAATGAAGCTTTAAACCTCAGGAGAGGAGATGTAATTTCCAAAAGGTGATGGGAGAACTGTAATAAACATAAACCTTAAGGTGTGCCAGTGTAATTTAGCTTTTTTAATTTTAGTTTTGGATTTTTGGTATAAAATTAATAACCCTATGCTTTTTCACTTATTTCAATATATTTATTCATGATAGCATTACATCCACCAATTAATATATCAATTAGTATATGAGCATATGTTATGATAATATAATTTCAAAATTACGAACTCACTTATTATATAAATTACAAATACTAAAAACCTTTAAACCTAATATATAAATCACTAATTAGTGCATATAACATTAATTATTCTTAGCTCCAGATTTGGTATAACTTTTTTCAAATTTTAAATTTGTAATTGAGTGATGCGGATCCTAAATAATCTATCAAAATTTTTACCAAACCTCTTATATGGGTGTGGGATCCACACATGTTCGTTTGTGTAGATCTCACACTCATATGAGAGATTTGGTAAAAAATTTAGTAAATCATTTGGGATTCATAACATTTTTCTTTGTAATTAGAAGCATAAGGTAAAACACTTATCCCTTACTTTTCATGTGATTAATTTATTTAAATTATTTATATATCATAAATTATAAGTACAAGTTGTCCTAAACACTTTAATACACCAAAAATGTTTGAAAGTTCTAAAATAAGAGCTCTAGGAGGTGGGTCTCATCAATTGATGTGATATTTTGACTCTTTTTTTTTCTTCTTCTTTTGTGCCATATCATTAGAACTCAATTAAAACTCTAAAATTATTTAAACTTATTTAAAAAAATGACTTATTTGCACCCAAAAAGAAAATTGGCAATTGGCATTAATGTGGTTATGATGGGAACATTAAATAATTAAACAGCTCAATGAGTGGTATACAAAATAGATGCCAACAACATGGCCTTGCATTGTCCTAGCTGGTAATATATATTATATCTGTTGCCACTTCATCAACATTCTAATTTGATGAACCATTCCCCTTCTTTCTTTCTTTTTTTTCTTCATCAATAACAATTTCAAAAAACAAAATGAATAAAAGCAAATGTGTCATTGGCAAAAATTAGCAACAACGTAGGGGAATTGGTGAGCGGTTTCATTCTTAGATTTATAAATCAATAAATGTGTAGAAAGATTATTTAATCCACCAAGTCTCTTGCGTCACCTAATTTTCGTAATACTCTTAATTTTTTTACATGTTAATTAATATTGCACATAACATAACACTTAATAATGTGTGAGGCAAATATTTGTTGTTTTTCAAATTTTTTAAATTGATTACTTTCATTCTACACATCAACTTTTTATAAAATTTATAGTTTTGGTATTCATTCAAGGAGATGTATCAATCAAAGTTCATATTCAATACAAATTTTTAGAAGAAAAAAAAAATAAAAATTTACAATTTCCAACAAAAAGTTGATAAATTTCTTAGTATTTACAACATTTATTAGTTCTTGTGCAAAAATGTAACATTCATAGTTTCCCAAACATAAAAATTCATAGAAACTAAGAAATTTCACAAGTACTAAGTACATGAATGAGGAAAATGTTACAGATCTCAAATTTTTTATTAAATAAATGACCAAATGTTTCACATCATGTGAAACATTTAGTCATTTGTTTAATAAAAAATTTGATATCCCTAACATTACCCCCATGAACTATGACATTTTATCTAAGGATGTTATTTTTTGTGTGCATAATCTCATATATAGTAAGGATTTCATTAATAGATTTGAATGAATATATTTCTACAATATAATTTTATAAAAATAAATGCTTCAAATGGAAATTAAGGCATTTTAAAGTATAGAACTATAAAGCAAAGTGGGTATAGTAAATAATGACAACAAAAATATCGAAAAAAGTCATAAACATTACTTACACGACCTTTATACATATCAATGATATAAATATATCAATCTCTACACTTATTTACATATCAATAGATAGAGGGGTGTGGGTCTTACACAAATGGATGTATGCCCCCACACTCTCTATAGACATATAAATTGTTGTAAGGATGAGTGTATTTTGAGAAACACAATAATAAAAGAAAAATGAAAAAAAAAAATAATAATTCATCCAATCTGCAACCAGGTGAGATCTCAGTTTTCCACTTCAAACTACAACCAACTATCAGAATAGTCCCATTTTTGTTTTGTTTTGTTTTTTTTTTTGGATACTCCGAAAAGGAACTGAATATTCCCATTGATAATACCGTACCAAATGATTGTCTTTATATGATACTTAATTTTCTCATATGACAAAGAAAAAACATTTGATGAAAAATATCATCTTGAAATCTTTTTTAAGCCATTCTAAAAAATGAAAAATAAAAATTATAATACACCAAGAATGGAAAAAATAATGCAAAAAGTTAAAATAATTAATTTTATGTATAAAATATTATTATTTATTATGTTATCACTAATACATGAATAACATATAAAATGTCACATTAAAAAGTAAATAAAATTAATACAAAAAATATGATATTTTAACCTTACTAAAAAAATCAATCGTTATTTGATTAGCAAATCTTAAAAAAAAATCCAATAATGCTGACGTATGAGAACTGAAGATCTCAAGCTGGCCCACTCAGGCCCAAAAACAACTGAAACCTTCAAGCTGTCGGCCCATCACGAACAACATTCATCATACTTCCATTACTAACCGTCTGATCATCAAATCCAAAACCATTGGCCCCACCATATCCACTAGGCCCAACACCACCACTATTGTCGTCATCGTCATCGGCATCGTTATCTTCATCGTCGGTATTGCCTTCATCAGACGACAGAGGGACTAACCAGCATGAACCATGCAAGTGGCCATTCACACACACAAAATACTCCAACCCTCCATCGTGCGAGCCAAGCCTCCTCGCCGCACTCTTCGGCACGAGCCTAGCCGTAGTCATACTCCAAACGCGGGACCCACAATACGGGCACCTAACCCTTTCCTCGAACACAACTTGCCTTGCAACCAAACAAGCCCTCGTCGTCGATTTAATAAATCCCCGAAATACCCCTCTGTAAATCCCCAAATCATCTTCTCTACCATTCGCTCTCGGGTGCTCACACGGGTCGCTCACGTACAGCAAATCGCCCCGACATTTCTTCGTCAAGAAGCTCCGACCAGACGTCTTCGAAAACCGGGACGCATTGACGAAGTGACCCGGCTGAGTCGCTTGAAATCGCTGAGTTGATTCGCAGCCGCAGCAGAAGAAGAGAAGCTTAGCCAGCGCGTGCCAGCCGCCTCCGATTCGGCTGCTCGGCCCGCCGTTCGTCAATGCGGATACCATCCGCGGCGCGCGATACGCACAGGCTTCTCTCCATAGAAGCCGCTTGGCTATGGCGCGGAGCTTTCGGCTGACTGAAGCCGCCTGGCAGAGCACGTGGATGTCCCACTTGATCGACTCGAATACGAGGATGAGAATTCGCTCGTTGAGTATCGCCGAGTCGTCTGACTCGGCTGAGTCGGATCGCCCACCCTGCGCGCTGAGTCTCGGCCTCTGGTTTGCACTCATTTTCGGACAATGGTCTGGCATTTTCGTACCAAGGCGGACATCTAATGACCTTCCATAAATAGCTCTCTCTAGAAAAGTACATTTGGACACGTGTCAATTTTGAAATGGATGATTGACTGCCAAAGATGATGCACTAAGAATCCAGCACGTGTACCCGTCTTATTGGTGGTGGACGCGTGGTGATAACCCATTGGATGGTTATTCGTTTTAGCGAATTAAGAAAAAAATGTCAGCGTTTGATGAGAGTAGGGAAGATCTTCGGCCACGTGTCCCCAAAAATATCTTTTATACGTGGATCGAAATATCTGAGGCACAACGTGGCAGAATCAGAAATATCTTGGGGTTTTGGGGTGGGAGCAAATAATTGAAGCACGCGTGGAGAGATGTGGGACGTACACGTAGAATATCCAGTGGAGATTGAGTTTGATGTGTCGTGAAATGGTCTCAAAATAGTCAAGGAAGGAAGAAAGGTGGAATTAAGAATGGAAAAATGCTGTAATTTAATTTTATATGATTTAGATGGTTTAGATGGTTTAAAATAACGTCAATTTGCCTTCAAAATACCGTGTTTTGAAATATTTAAATCATGATAAAAATTCATGTTAGAAATCATTGTTGTTAAGAATATTGAAATGCTAAAAGACGAAAGTGGTTGGCCTATGTGGGTTTGCCTTTTTTGAGGTTTTGTTTGGTATGATTTAAAAATTTTAAAAAGTTAGAAAGTTACTATCCTATTTAAGTCATATTATCTTATTTAAAGCACATCATCTCTTTAACACAACACTTCAAACTCAATCTATATCCAATTTATATTTTTTTAAAAATTAAAAAATACACTTTATTTAGATCATGTTAAACCACTCAAAATTTTAAAGTCATGCTTTTTGTCAGAAGGAGGACATGTTCTGAATTAAAAGCCAAATGATCACTCGACTAGTTGGAATTCCAACCTACCCAACTGCGTGGAGGGTGTGTTTTTTTTAAGAAAATGCGTTGGAACCCAGTGGGGGTGCTGGGGTACTTGTTGATTGGTTGAAATTTTTTATTTTTTTATTTTTTTGGACTTCAGTCACTGGCAGTGTGCCATGTGACACTGGGGTCCATAGTATCACCCTTTTTTTAATTTGATTTTGATTTCAATTATCAAAATAACAAAATAATGTTTTAAAATAATAATAATAATAATTTTTTAATTGGTGAGAATATCTCTTCTTGAGCCGGAATAAACTCACCTCCTTGGGCCGAAGTAACTTTGTCTCCCCAAGGCCGGAGTAACCTTGCCCGCTAGGCCGGAGTATTCAGTACGGCCTTTTTACCTAGTCCTCTGCGTTTAGGGCCTCAAAACCCAACTCGAAGCTCGGCCCAATTTTTCCCAAAAATTACCCTCTCAATTATTGTTTTTTTTTTAATATATTTCATCAACCAATTGTTCTACAATATAATTTTTGAGCAAATTTTACATATGTATTGATAATTATGCGTACTTTTGATTGTGTTACTTTTGTTTTTTAAGTTTTTGACACTGTGTTAATTTAGTCGAACTAATTAAGTACAAAATTAAATAAAAATGAATTGTTGAATGGTTTGTTCAAAAGAAAATTGATATTTTAAATTGAACACCAACTCCTCAATTATTTGAGTACAGTTTGATTAGTTTGTTTTTTTTAAACTTCAATTCAATTTGTAAAAAGCATTATCAATTGAAAATGTGACACTCCAAAATACATTTACTTGTGTGAATTAAGTGTAATGAACAAATACGAATTATGGATTGGGTTCATTAAAATCTTTTATTTTGTAGTTATGACTAATGATAGAAATGGTACCGAATCAACGTCTGTTATAGTCAAATAAGTAGGAAGAATAGTAGAAAGAACTATTGCTAGTTTCTTGCAAGTCTTGCAAAATAACGTAACCAATGGCATATCAAAAAACCAAGAAGGACCCACTACAATAAAGTAATTCCAAGACCTGAAACCTGCAACATTCACTGGGGATTCAAACCCATTGTTGGCGAAAGCTTGGGTTAGGGACATAAAAAAGATTTTTCGTGTGCTGCCTTGTACTGAAGCGCAGAAGGTGTCTTTCGCCACCTTCACCCTTAAAGTGCCTGAGAGTGGTGGTTTCTTAACCTAGAAAAAGAAGAGATTATAACTTGGGTAAGGTTTCTAGAAGTCTTCTATAAAAAGTATTTTCCAGACTTATTACGAGAGTAAAAAGCATCAAAATTCTTGCACTTAAAGCAAGGAACAATTGTGATAACCCCCTCCTTAATTAAGTAAATTATGTGTTCAATGTTGATTGGGTGATTATGTGTTAATTGTGAATTATGAGCCATGTATTTTACGTATTGTATTGATTTGTGCCATGTATTATTGTGGACAGATACACATAAGTGCGAATTAAACCTGTCTGAATCGTTAATTTTACCAAGTTAAAATTGAATAATAGAATATGAAATTAGAGCCTAATTCATATTAGGAAAATTAAAGCTAGTTTAATTTAAGTTATAATGTCGGAGATTAGTTTAATTTAAATGAGATTAATTAATTTAAGTAAAGTTAATTTTAATTAATTGAAGTAATTGAAATATTGAAAGAAAAATAAAAGAATTGAATATGATAAATCTTTACTAGTGTCCTACTCAACTATGCATTCACGTAATTGGGATATAGAGTATAGTGGCCTTATAGAATCAGCCATGTAGAGAGAGGGGAAGATTGTGAGAAGGTAAGACTTCAACAATTCAACAAGAAGAAGAAGAAAGAAAGAGTTAGGAGGAAGGTAGAAAGTTAGCTTGAACCGTCATAAATCATCAAAGTAAGGTAAGCATTTCTTTCAAATTCTTGAACTTGAGACTCCAACACTCATCATTTCCTAAGATATAAGGTTAATTAAAATGGATTCATGGGTAATTAGGAGTTTTATTGTGGAAATGGACAAGTTAGAACATGCAAGTTAAATTAGGAATGAATCAAAGGAAATTGACCTTTATTTCTCCATGCATGGCATGAATTTAAGACATTTAGGTTTATATGCATATCCTCTTGCATGATCTTCATGGAGTATACAAGTTGTAAAGAGTTTTCCTCACAAAGTTTAAAATTAGAATTATTGAAACACACAAGACTCATACTCTTGTCACTTCTTGGAAGCTTTGATCAACCAAGTGGAAAACTTAATTTAAATTGTGGACTTGCATGATTTTATTGTTACTCCTACATGTCATTTTTGCATGAACCCTTTGAAGTTCAAGATTTCATATCTTTTCAAAGTTTGAATTATTTAAATAGACAACTGAGTTTCTTTCAAAGCCATGGTTTGTAATCAATGTTTAAAGCTCAAATTTTAACATGATTACATGAGGTTTTGGGTGTGCATTGCATGCAAATGGTGTTGAATTTGCAAGGTTATACACTGCCCCAGCAGAGTAGATTTCGAGAAACATTTTAACCCAGACCGCTCGAGCGGCCTGGGACCCCGCTCGTGCGGCCAACCTTCGTGAACTCAGGGAAGTATTTTGCCGGACCACCGCTTGTGCGGCCAAGGCCACCGCATGAGCGACCAAGCCACCACACGTGCGGCCAAACAGGGCAAATTTTCCGGTTTAGTTCTCTTATCGTTTTCTGACTTCCGAGCCTTCATTTGCATAGTTTTCACATGTCATATGCATCTATACACATCTCATGAGCATGAAATAAAATAAGAAAATAATGGAAATAATTAAATAATCAAGTAACGAATAATTGAATGAGGTTAAGAACCAACTGCATAACTCAGATATATATTGAGGAATTGTGCTATGAATGTTTGTATTTGTAGGTTAGGACTTGAAGACCGTGTAACCAGTTTTGGAAGTCCACTGTGAGTAACATTTCTGTAAAGATATGCTGATATAAATTATGTTTTAACTGTTATCGATAAGCTATGGCTTCTTGAAATGCTATCTTGATTATGTGAACGAATATCCTATTTGCGAATCTAATATAGCATCCATGGATAGTCCCAAGTCACGGGGGACGCCACATTAGTGCGGGTCCATGACATACATGTGATACGAGATCTCGTTAGCCACGTCATTATGGTGTTATGTATTTAATCGGTATCCAAAACCGATTACTCTAGTCAAAAGACGATATGCGATATGTTCCTTTGGATATACCATTATTATGTTCTATTATGAGACTAATATGATAGATACGTATGATTGGTTTTATATATATGATATGATTTGGAATTCGTTTACTAACTCATTTACTTTAATGTTATTCACTAGGTTTTAACACACTGTTTTTATATATATTTATAGGTGAGCGTTCTGGAAGTCAAGCCTTGGCGGAGTTTTGAACCGAGCCACCGTTTTGAAGCCTACCAAGTGTTTTGGGTGCCTCCGAGTTTGGGCTAGGCCTGGAGGGCCGTTAGCAAGCTTTCGGTCATGTTATACACTTTTGACCCGTACATATGTTTTGTATGAGATATTATGTCATATGTTATGTAATTGTCACGACCCATACCCGCCTCTATGGGTTTAGCATCGTAACCGGCTAGTAATCCGTGATTACCAAAGGCCTGCTTAACAGTAATGACAGTAATACAGAGTAAAGGGACTGGCGGAAGCCAAAACAGTAAATAAAAGATGTCTAATGAGCTGTGACAGTCTGAATGCAAAAAGACTTTTTATAAACATGCCACATTGACAACCAAAACATATATACATGCGACATATACACAAACATCCATGTTAGGGATCAAATCCCTGACTATAACTGTACAGTCAAGTCTTAAACATTCATTACAAGACAGAAACAAAAGGGTGATTCTGGACACCCCAAAACAGCCGTGGCTTGAATGCACTTGGAACCTCGAAGTGAGGCACAAAGGTTGGCTTGACAAAACAAGAGCTAACCCGACGCTCCTAGCTCTAGTCCGGTGCCTGGACACCTATATATATATATATATAAACAGTGAGCTAAAGCCCAGTGAATAACAGTTATGTAAAGAGGTTAAGAATGAATGTCCTTTCAGTAATTAAACAGTCATAT